AGATACAAGGGCAAAAAGTTCCTCAAGTAAAAGTAAAAGTATTACATGAAAAAAATCTGCATAAAAGTGTAACTTTTCGGTTGAAGGCCCATCACTTTCTTGTTTCTATGGATATGACATTGCTTTGCTTAGAATGTTCCACAGTATCACATTAAACGGAAGTTCTACCTTACATTTATTAAATTACAGGTGGGTTTTTTTGCTCAAAATACCTAGAAAAACAGGCCTTCTGACTGTGAGCAGGGTCGCCTCTCCACAGATCTGACCTGTAACTTGGTTTGGTTTGGTCTCCATGAAAATAGAAAGGTTTAATACCATACTGTGAAACATTCCAGAGACCACTTTCAATCATAGTTAGAACAGAGAAAGTTATTCAAGTATTACATGAAAAAATCAGCTTAAAGGTACACTGTGTAACTTTTCAGTTGGGGCAGTGCATCACTTTTTTGTCATTCCTCTGCTTAGAATGTTCCACAGTATGTCATTAAAGAGCGCTACCTTACATTTACCCAGCCACAAGTGGTTTTATTGCTCAAAAATACCTCGAAAAACAGACATTCTGACTGTGAGTGAGGTCGCCTCTCCACAGATCTGACCTGTAACTTGGTCTGGTTTGGTCTCCATGAAGATAGAAATGTTTAATATCATACTGCGGCAAAGTAATAACATCTCCATGGAGAAAAGCATCTGACGGACCCTCCACCAGAAAAGTCACACAATAAAACTTTAAGGGTCAGAGCTCAAGAGATTATACAGACTTCCTTCCGCTCCATTTGTCTTCTATTATTTATTTCAGTTGCTGCTGTGACTGCCAGGGGCCCACGCACTGAGACCACTTTCTACCGTAGTTAGAACAGAGGAAGTGACTTGAGAGCAGAGGTGGATGAAGTACTCAATTTTGTTACTTAAAAGTTTGTGTAACTTGTATGTTTGAGGGTCCGTCTGTTTTTCTCCATGGAGATGTGCCTAGAATGTTCCACAGTGTCGCCGTAAACTTAAGAATTGTTAGGTAAAATTCTGAACTTAAAATTGTAATGTAAAATTCTGAACTTAAAATTGTCATGTAAAATTATGAACTTGAAATTGTTATGTAAAATGTAAAAACGTATGTAAAAACTTAAAATTGTAATGTAAAATTCTGAACTTAAAATTGGCACATAAAATGCTGAACTTAAAATTGTTATGTAAAATGTAAAAACTGTTATGTAAAATGTAAAATTGTTATGTAAAATGTAAAAAACTTATGTAAAAACTTAAAATTGTTAGGTAAAATTATGAACTTAAAATTGAGGAGACTTGCAAGTCAAATTACAGGGTAGATTTGTGGAGAGGCGACCCCACTCACAGTAAGAATGTTTTGTTTTTGTTTTTTTAAGATAATTTTGAGCAATAAAAAAAAAAAAACTATAGTTGAATAAATGCAAATAGGTTAGTTTAATGCCATACTGTGGACAATTTAAACCCAAGCATACATCTCCATGGAGACAAATAGGTTGCAGACCCTTTCCAAAAAGTTTTTATTTCTATAGCGTTTTTCACAGACATATATCACAAAGCTGCTTTACAGAACATTTTATAGATTCATTATTCTTTTTCACACCCATCACCAGGTGTGGAAACAGTGCTTAAAGACTAAAAAGTGAAAGTATTCTGCAGAGATTTTTAGACCAATTAAAGGACAAAATGTAGTGATTTTCATGATGAATTCAGCTGATTTTAAGTGTTTCCGTTGATTTCTCAATTTTTGTAGCTGTTTTCGTGTATTTAGGTTTGATCAAAGTTGGGACGGGCTAAAAAAGTCTCAGCCATTTCAAAGTACTTTTTATTTTTCAGTCCAGATCTAAAATGTAGTGAAGTAGAAAGTACAGATACACGTTCTCAAATGTAGTGAAATAAAAGTAAAAAGTATGCACTCTAAAATGTACTTAAAGATTACACAAAATTAACTCTTGTGAGCTTTAGGTCATGTTTAATGTTGTTACCTCATCAAAAACATAACTGGAGTTGTGTTTTGTTTCATTCACACATTGAGAAATGCTTTCTCCAAAGTTCAAGATGCTCTGTTCCACCTTGTGATGTCATCAAGCAGTAGTTTTCACGTTAACAGCTTCTAGTAGAGATTGGCAATTCTGGGGCTGAAATTATCTAAATGAATTTAGTGAAGATGTAAGGAGTTTAAAAACACAATGGAGCACTTCTTGTATTACCATGTGACATCACAAGGTGGAACAGAAAGTTTTTAGAAGAACTGAACCTAAATATGCAGGGTTTGTGCGTTTAACATGTGTGAATGAAAGAAAACACAACTCCAGGTCTGTTTGTGACAGACCTTTAATGTGGCCCTGGGCTGATTTTCTACTAAAATATTTTCATTATATTTTCTATTAAAATATTGGTAATTTTCTGTGGTGCTTATAATAGCAGCGTCTCCAGCGCCTCTGTGCGTGGCCCCTCCCACCAGAGCAGCACAAATAAAGACTTGCCTCTTTCCAAACGCTCTTAAAGGACGATCGTTTTGACTGTTGACCGTGACACCCTCATCAGCAAAATGTCAAAAATGAGGAAAGTGGAGCCGAGTGCAGGATTTTACAAGAAAAATTGACTTATTCCTATTTGCATACAAGAAATTGTTAAAACACTGTGTTGAAATTGCTTTTTTTTTTTTTTTTTTAGTTTCAGGTTGTTCATAATATTAGAATATTTTATAAAAGAAAGTGTTCATCTATTTATAAAGATTTCTGTAATAGATTTGCGTTTCTCTGCACAAATATTTGAACTTATTGCTGTTTTTGGGGTTTATATGCCATGAGTTTTCTGATCCAGCCCCTTTGGGATCAAAGTAGGTTGGATACGGCCCCCGGACCAAAATGAGTTTGACACCCCTGGCCTAGACAAAATGCATTGAAAGTACTTTATAAATACTAACAAAGCTATAATAAAGCATTTATTATTATGCATTTTACTATTAACTAACTTTTATTATGTGTTCCCTAATCTAAAGTGTCACACATAGATCAGATAACAGTATATTATGGGCCCTTTAAGTAAAGTACAGATACCTAAATTTGTACTTAAGTCTTGCATTTTTACTTTTGTGCTTCATTACTATCCACCCCTGCTTGTGAGACACTCCCTCCTTCAGAGCCTCTGTAGTCCTAACTGTGGTCAGAGTGAAAGAATAGAAAGAAACATCTGGAACACGATAGTCCCTCACTCTAGTACATCTGGAGCACAATAGCTCTCGTCTGAAAGTTAGAAAAATCCAGTAGCCGGTGGTGAAGGCCCCTCAGCTGCTCGTAGGCTTTGTCCGTTATCACAACACGGCGTTAATATCCAAAGACAAGCTCACTTTGCTCATGTTAACGTTGACTTCATACTGTGGCTTCAGTGTGTTTGGAGTGTCAAAATCAAGGCTGTGCGTATGTCAAACACAGATCACATTTACAATCATAGCAAAATCTGAAACGCCAGAAACCAAAACACTAAAGGCTTTTTTCTATTGTTGAGTGTAGAGTTTGAATCATAGTCAAATGAATAAGACTGTTGTGTATTTCTGCATTTTCTTTTCTCAATGGAGATGTTATTGCTTCATCTGGAATGTTTCACAGTGTGGCATTAAACAAAACCTCTCTATCTTCTTGGAGTCCAAACCAGACCACGTTACAGGTCAGATTTGTGGAAAGGCGACCAAGTTCACAGTCAGAACGTCTTTTTTTTTTTTTTTTTTTTTTTTTTGAGGTATTTTTCAGCTATAAAACTACCTGTAATTCAATAAATGTAAATTAGAACTGTTTAATGTCACACTGTGGAACATTCCAGGCACAGCAATGACATCTCCATAGAAACAAGCAGGTGACGGACCCCCAACCACAAAGTTACACAGTGCTCTTTTAATTTGATGGGATACCTGTTGGCCTGCATGTTGTAAATATACGTAATAATTTTACACCAATCAAATAATTAACATTTTAAAAACAACAGAGCATTTAAGCTTTTTTTTTTTTTACAAAAAAGGTTAGGGTTAGGGCCCATACAGTTGTATTTGTCAGGGAATAATTGCAGTGTACATTAGAGGAGTTTTAATTCAGTATAGTCCACTGCACAGTTAGCGTGACGTCATCATTTCCAACCGTTAAATTATGTAAAATTATGAACTTGAAATTGTTATGTAAAATTCTGAACTTAAAATTGATAAGTAAAATTCAGAGTTTAAAATTGTCATGTAATATTATAACTAAAAATTGAGAATTTAAAATAGTTATGTAAAATTATGGACTCAAAATTGTTAAGATAAATTATGAACTTAAAATTGTCTTGTAATATTATAACCAAAAAAAAAAATCTGAATTTAAAATAGTTATGTAAAATTATGGACTCAAAATTGTTAAGATAAATTATGAACTTAAAATTGTCATGTAATATTATAACAAAAAATCCTGAATTTAAAATAGTTATGTAAAATTATGGACTCAAAATTGTTAAAATAAATTATGAACTTAAAATGGTCATGTAAAATAATGAACTTAAAATTGTAAGGTAAAACTCTAAACATAACTCTTAATTCTGAACTCATTATATATTTATTTTTATTTATTTGTTTATTTATTTATTTCATTCATATCATATAAAAAGACATCAGCAGTGTCACAGGAGCAGAAAGAAGAGTAATCTTATGTTATCTGCCCCCTTTTCCCTTTTCTAGACAATACATCAACACTGATGGTTACTAAACATTATAACTAAAAACATTATGAACTTAAAATGTTAGGTAAAAGTCTGAATTTAAAATGATCATGTAAAATTTCCAACTCAAAAAATTCTGCACTTAAAATGGCTAAATATTGTTAAAATTGTTAAATATAAATATGTAAAAAATTATTATTATTATTATTATTATTATTATTATTATTATTATTATTTATTATTTATTTATTTATTTATTTTATTTTTTTTTTTTTTTTACAAAAACATTGCTTAAATCATGTGTCGTGTGGACTGACCTGTCTCTCGGTCAGGTCTAGGTTGACGGCGATCTCGTAGCGCCTTAGTCTGGTCAGGTAGTTGTGGTGGGCGAACTCTGCCTCCAGCTCCCGGATCTGCTCCTTGGTGAAGGCCGTGCGCTCCTTCCTGGGTTTACTGCTCACGTCCGATTTATAATTCCCGTCCTGTGACTCTGAAACCAAACACCACACATTTTTTTTAAATATCTTATTACGTAAAATTGACTCTTGTGAGCTTTAAATTACGTTAGAATATGCTGCTACCTTCATCCAAAACAGACCTGGAGTTGTGTTTTGTTTCATTCACACATGTTTGAATACCTTTTTATTATTAGTCTGTCTACATCTTCAAAGCTCAAAATGCTCTGTTCAACCTTGTGATGTCATCAAGTGGTAGTTCCTCAGTTAACAGCTATTTTTTTCTTTCTTTTTTTTTCTTTTCTTTATTCAAGATTTACAATTCAAGGGATGAATTTATCTTATTGATTCTCATGAAAGTGCGTGGAGTTTAAAAACACAGTGAAGCACTTCCTGTATTACCACATGACATCACAAGGTGTAACAGAGATTTCCATTTGAGAGACCAATTCAACCTAAAGATGCAAGGTTTGTGTGTTAAACGTGTGAATGAAACAAAACACAACTCCAGGTATAGTTTTGATGAGGAAACAACATTATAACAAATCAGAAAATAGTGTAATATGAACCCTTTAATCCTTTATTTTTAGTCTGTCCACAAGCTCAAAATGCTCTGCTCCACCTTGTGATGTCATCATAAAGTGAGCAGCTATTTCTAGTGAAGAGGTTTCAACAAAACAAGTTCAAAAACAGTAGATGGAGCTTCAAAGTTGGGCAATTCTTGGGCTGCAAATGATCCAAATGATTCTAGTGAAGGTGTATGGGGGAGCTCTTCCTGTATCACCAATTAATGACATCACAAGGTGGAACGGAGTGTTTTCAGGTGGAGAGAAGAACTCCTCAAGCCTTAGCACGCAGGGTTTCTTTGTTAAATGAATGAAATAAAACAACTCTATGTGCGTTTTTGATGAGGAAACAGCATTGCAACATTGATTTTTAACTTTTTTATTTTTACTTTTTCACTTTGAGCAGATTTATAAGCAAGAACCGAGCGCTGTGTGGCAGGTGCAGAGTGGTGTGCGAGGAACAATGGGGACTGTCCATCACACTTTACAGTTGGGACTTTGTTTATGGAGACTTTAAGTGGCTGGAAGGACTCACGCCTGCTGCACACATGTGGGACTTTAACTATGCTCTCTTTACAGCCAATAAGAGCCCCATCTGCACCCAGCTCTCAACGAAACCAGGCCTGTTTCGGTTTCATTCAGCTGTGAGGTAAATCTCTCTCTAAAAGTGTTGTGTAACTTTTCCGGTGGAGGATCAATATTCTTTTGTCTGAAATGCTTCACAATATGGCGTTAAAGCTTTCTGTCTTCATGGAGACCAAGCCAGACCAAGTTTTTAGGTATTTTTGAGCTATAAAACCACAGATATGTGAATAAATGTGATGTAGAGTTGTTTAAAGTCATACTGTGGAACATTCCAGGCAAAGCAACGACATCTCTGTAGAAACAAGTAAACTCTCAACCAAGAAGTTACACAGTGCATCTTTAAAGGCCCTGATTTGTCCCATGTTTTTGAGCATAATTTGTCCCAGTACATATATGTTGTATAAACAGCTCTTATGATCAGGAAGTGCATGATAGGATGCTAGTTGCTGTTAGCTTCACTGTGGCAGTGAAACTCCACTGTGGTCTCGGAATGTATAAAGAAAAAATGTGTTTGCTGTGTAACTGTGGAGTATTGTATTGTCCTTTAATCAGGAAGTACACGTTAGGATGCTGGTTGTTAATTTTACTGTGACAGCTCGTGAGGTGAAAATGTGTTCTCTGCATAACTGTGGAGTATTTTATTGTTCTGTGATCAGGAAGTGCACATTAGGATGCTAGTTGTTAGTTTTACGGTGACGGCTTGTGTGTAATTATAAAGTATTTAATTGTCCTACGATCAGCAAGTGCGTGTTAGTATGCTAGTTGTTGTTAATTTTACTGTGACAGATCTTGAGGTAAAAATATTTTTGCTGTGTAACTGTGGAGTATTTTATTGTCCTATGATCAGGAAGTGCACATTAGGATGCTAGTTGTGAGTTTTATTGTGATGGCTCGTGTGTAATTGTAGAGTAATTTATTGTCCTATGATCAGGAAGTGCACGTTAGGATGCTAGTTGTTTTACTGTGACAGCCCATGAGGTCAAAATATCTTCACTGTGTAAGTATGAAGTATTTTATTGTCCTATGATCAGGAAGTGCACGTTAGTATGCTAGTTGTTTTACTGTGACAGCCCATGAGGTCAAAATATCTTCTCTGTGTAAGTATGAAGTATTTTATTGTCCTATGATCAGGAAGTGCACGTTAGGATGCTAGTTGTTTTACTGTGACAGCCCATGAGGTCAAAATATCTTCACTGTGTAAGTATGAAGTATTTTATTGTCCTATGATCAGGAAGTGCATGTTAGGATGCTAGATGTTAGTTTTACTGTGATGGCTCGTGTGTAATTGTAGAGTAATTTACTGTCCTATGATCAGGAAAAGCACATTAGTATGCTAGTTGTTAGATTTACTGTGACAGCCCATGAAGTCAAAATATCTTCGCTGTGTAATTATGAAGTATTTTATTGTCCTATGATCAGGAAGTGCACATTAGGATGCTAGCTGTTATCTTTAAAATATCTTTGGGACATAACTATAAAGTATTTTACTGTCCTTTGAGCAGGAAGTGCACGCTAGATGCTAGTTCTTATCTTTAAAATATCTTTGTTGCTTAATTATAAAGTATTTTAGTGTACTGTGATCAGGGAGTGCAGGTTAGGATGCTAGTTGTTGTCTTGGAAATATCTTCCGTGCATAATTATAAAGTATTTTGTTGTCCTATGATCAGGAAGTGTACGTTAGAATATTAGTTGTTGTTAGCTTTACCGTGACAGCTCTTGAGGTCAAAATACTTTCTGTGCATGATTACACAGTATTTTATTGTTTTACGATCAGGAAGTGCACGTTAGAATGCTAGTTGCTGTTAGCTTCGCTTCGAAAGTGAGGAGTAATTTTGGACCACTGCAAACAGTTTGAAGTGATCCAGTTCTGTTTTTCACATTTTTAAGATGGTAAAAATCAGACACAGCACTTTTCAGACATTAGAATACAATTTCAAAATGATTGTTCCAAATCTGAATTGCTTCTAATCAGTATAGTATAGTATAAAAGTAGATGACTGTTTGAAATATAATGCGGGCCTGTTTTGGTCATTTAGCCATGTGTATAATCCAGTCAATAAGGTACAGGGATCAGTCCTGACAGTAGAGTTTCATTTGGAAAGGCATCTGGTATAAAATAATTGCCAAATGTGCCATGATACTTAAAATGACAAGATCTATGCGTAAGTTTTGATTATACAGCTTAGTTAATTTAGTTTGTTTATCAGAGGCTATGTTGTGTACAGGAGCATTACTCAAAGAATGTTAAGAAATACTGAAGAGAAGCTTTGTACCAGACTTTTCCACCTGCGGTTTCTGAGACATACAAAACACAGAACACACAAATAGAATAAAACAATGCACTCGATACACAATTACAATGACATTAAAAGCTCTATCCCCTCTGTTCCCACTCTGCTCCTCATAGACTCTTGTGAGCTTTCATCCATGTTAGAATATTGTTACATCTTCAAAAACATACTGTACCTGGAGATGTGTTTTGTTTCATTCACACATGTTTGAGCAACCCTTTATTATTAGGATGAATCCATAAATCTCAAAATGCTTTGTTCCACCTTGTGATGTCATGAAGCAGTAGTTTTCAAGTGAACGTCTACATCTATATGTTTTAACTGTCTATATGTTCCACATTTATATCAGGATTTTTTGTGCTTATATGTCTTGCTTCTACCCTACTGTTCACAGTATTGATATGTATAAATGTGTAAGTCTGTGTGTGCATATTGGTGCTGTCAAAAGTATTGCAGTTGAATAGTCTTTGTAATGATGTTGTAGTATGTAGGGGTGTAACGGTACATGTAATCTTGTCGAACCGTTTCGGTACAGGACGTTCGGTTCGGTGCATGGCTCTGCATAAGTGAATTTGCGCAATTTGTGTGTGTTTACATTCCACCACTACATGTGCACTACATGGAAGGATGTGCACTTACTGCACACTATGTGGACAAGTTGTTTTTTCTGGCCAAAAAATTTGAAGATTGAGTAAAACTTCATACTGGAACTGTTAGTGCTGCGCTTTACTTTTTGAAAAGTTTTGTTTACCGTTTACAAGGAATACATTTTTTATAACAATTCAAACATTTGTTGCTTATTTAAAAATATTTTATTTAACTTAATAGTATTACCAAGCAGCACTTTGCATCCCCCCCCCCCCCCCCCATGTATAATGTTAAAACTAATTCTTGGTTTAATAAATACACAAATAAAGAACAATCAAATGGTTTTCCATTTTGTTTCCATACTGTACCGAAAATGAATCAAACCGTGACCTCAAAACCCAGATAAGTAGTGAACTTTGTGTTTTTTGTGTACCGTCACACCCCTAGTAGTAAGTCTCTATATGTGTCTATGTAGGACCTGGGTGGGTGGTGGGTGGGTGATTGTACTGCCCAGATAAATAACATACACGTTGGAGCACTTCCTGTATTACCACATGACATCACAAGGTGGAACAGTGTTTTCAGTTTGAGAGAAGAACTCAGTATGCCTAAATCTGCAGGGTTTGTGTGTTAACCGTGCGAATGAAACAAAACACAACTCCAGGTCTGTTTCTGATGAGGAAACAACATTATAAAACAGATCAGAAAATAGCATAATATAGACCCCGTTATAAGTCTATGTGTCTGTATACCCCACGAGCTGTCTGATAAAAGATTCCTTGTCACTATCTATTTCTCTTTCGATGTTTATTCATTATTTTCGTCCTCTAATTTAACCACAAATTGATTGCGTGTGCCTTTTCAATCTGGAACCCATTGCGAAATCACACCACATCTCTGACTTCTCTTCCACTGTATATTTGAAGTGTCCGCTCCTTTCGACTTTCCCTGCGTACGGCCTGATCAAATATTTGACGTGAAATGAGGCAACAAATAAATAACGCC